TGTGAAGCATCTCATAACATGGATGAAACTGGAGGACATTATGCTGAGTGAAATAAGTCAATCACAAAAAGACAAATATGGTATGAGACCTCTACTGTATAACTCACATAAAAGTTTACACACAAAGAAGAAACAATCTTTGTTGGTTATGAGGAATGGGAAGGGTCGGGGGGGGGAACTAAATAGATAAGTGGTAACTTTGGTGAAAGATAGGACAGTACACATTACTGGGGAAGCCAGCACAACTTGTACAAGGAAAGGTCATGGAAGCTCCATAGACACTTCCAAACTCCCTAAGGGACTGAGTTGCTAGGCGGAGGGCTGTGGGGACCATGGTCTCGAGGAACTTCTAGCTCAATTGGCATAACACAGTTTATAAAGACAATGTTCTACATTCTACCTTGGTGAGCAGCGTCTGGCTTCTTAAAAGCCTGTGAACAGCCATCTAAGACACCCCACTGGCCTTACCCCTTTGGGAGCAAGGGAGAATGAAGAGAACAGGATACAAGGAAAAGATTAGCCCAAAGGACTAATGGACCACAGCTACCACAGCCTCCACCAGACTGAGTCCAGCACAGCTAGATGGTGCCCGGACACCACCACTGACTGCTCTGACTGGGATCACAATAGAGGCTCCTGGACAGAGCTGGAAAAGGATGTAGAAGAAAATTCTAACTCACAAAACAAAGACCAGATTTACCGCCCTGACAGACTGGAGAAACCCCGATAGTACGGCCCTGGACACCCTTTTAGCTCAGTAGTGAAGCCTTTCCCGAAGTTCACTGTTCAGCCAGGGATTGGACAGCCTCATAAAACGAAACAGGATGAATGAAGCACAGTGTCCAGGGACAAGGACTAGAAGGCAGGAGGGGACAGGAAAGCTGGTGATACAGAACCCAAGGTTGAGAAGGGACAGTGTTGACATGTCATGGGGTTGTTAACCATTGTCATAGGGCAATATGTGTACTAACTGTCTAATGAGAAACTATTTGTTCTGCAAACCTTCATCTAAGGTACAAAATAAAAAAGAATTATCTATGTGAGATCAAATTGGCAACAAGCGACTCGAAAGGTTTGATGGGAAGCCTAGGGGACAGTGAGTTGAAGATAATGGTGATGGAATAATTTGGAAAAGGATAGTGAGAATAGTAGCACAACTGGAAGAATGTAATCGATATCACTGAATTGTACGTGCAGAAACTTTTGAAATGGTGTAACTTTGGCTATGCATATTTTCACCAAAAAAAAGGTCCTCAAGGTCGAGAAGGGAGAGTGTTGACATGTCATGGGGTTGTTAACCAATGTCATAAAACAGTATGTGCACTGACTGTTTAATGAGAAACTATTTGTTCCATAAATCCTCATCTAAAGTACAATAAAAAAAATTTTTTTAATTAATTTCTTTATATTTAACCTAGCAATCTGTTACCTTTTTTTTTTTTAACCACCACCATAATCATGCAAAAAAAGCCAACCACTTCCACTATACCAGGCAGAGGCATGGGGTTCTTAAATAGTTGCCTTCTCATTAAAATAAAGATTCTGCCCAGCTTCTAAAGCACTGGAAAGAGAAACTTTGATAGAACAGAACTTTAAGCAGTTCAAATTGCCTTCTTAGAGTTTGTATAATAATGTACTGCTCTGCTAAAGTAATAACAAAAGTTGCTATAGGAAGAGTATGGGAGTCAAACTGGTCTGTGAATCATCAGTATGCTGTGTATCCAACTCCAACTCCCCTTATGTTGTGCTTGTCTATATGTGATTGAAGCGTCCAAGATTCTATCCTGTAGATTGAGGAGTCATCATTCCCTTTAAAGCCTTACTCATTTGAACAAGTCCCCTCCTGCATGACTGCAGGAAACTAGTTCTCTCTGAAAGTATTCCCAAGGACTCCAATGGATGCTTATTTTCTAAAGCAACATGGAATCTCCCTGTTCAGCTTGCTTTCTATAGACTACCTCCAGTCATCTCAGCTCTTCTCCCCATAGCTGTAGCACTTATGGGTACTGCAAACCATGGCCACTGTCTCCTCTCTTTTTTCCTCAAGCACAGCTCATACCAGGCTGTTGCTTAACAAGTTTTACTAAGGTTTGAAGATAACAAAAGGGAATTATAACAGAAGACAAAAACTTAACACTGGGAACTGGGTAGTAGATCACCTCTGCTCCTGGCATCACAAGGGCTCCCCTCGGGCCATTTCTCCCCTCAGCCTCTGGTCCGATGCCCCAGGAATGGGTTTCTTCCCCTTTCTTCAGTTGTCATACTGACTGACATGTTTCCACTACCTGTCCTCCACTCCCAGCCAGCAAATCTGTCTTGGAAGAAATACAGCCAGAATGCTCCTTAGAAGTGAGGATGGCGAGACTTCATCTCACATACATTGGACATTTTATCAGGAGGGACCAGTCCTTGAAGAAGGACATCATGCTTGGTAGAGTAGAAGGTCAGCAAAAAAGAGGAAGACCCCCAATGAGATGGATTGACGTGGTGCCTGCAACAATGGGTTCAAACATAGCAACAATTGTGAGGATGGTGCAGGCAGCATTTCATTCTGTTGTACATAGGGTCACTATGAGTGCCACTTGGTGACACCTAACAATATTCAGCAAAACCAGATCCCTTTATACTCACAATAATCTCTGCAGAGCTGATTCCTGAAATCAGCCTTTTCTATGATTAACAAAGCACATGGATTCTGTTCAGCACCTGCTGGCTCATGGATCGCCAACAGTGGTCTTTCCACCAATAAGGAACAGGGGCACATTCAGGTTCTCTGCCTTTTGCATGTGAGACACCAAGTGGACCAATATCGCCACTGCCCTAGCATGCCCTCCCCCCAAAGTGAAAAGGAATAGACACTAAAAAATAAGCACATATACAAAAGCCGAATAGTTGACATCTCAGAAACATTACTTTCCCTTAGGGTCTCCCCACCCCAACCCCCAACAATGGCCTTAATTTCTATAAGACTAGAAAGGCTTACTGAGTGGCGCACTCGAAGGAGAGATTTCAGCTTCTACCCTAGAATGCAGAGGGTACTACTGGTTTTTAAATAACACTTTAAGAAACTCCCCTCCTCATCTGCAAAATGTGAAGTGTCCATTCCAGAGCTCACAGCTTTATGGACAGCTTGGAAGTTGGAGGAGTCTGCTGTCCAGCAAGTGGTCTCTGCCCCACACTCTCATTGTGCCTTGAGTCTGCATAAACCACTCAGAACTCCTCATAGCCAACCCTGAACACTGCTCATGTGTTCAGGAGAAGGTGGAGGTAGCCAGGCTCTGGCACCAGGTCGACACTCAGAAGTGTTTGCTGCATGAATGAGGGTGCATGAGCCCTGGTGTCCCCTGGAGTTCTCTGCCCCCTAGGTTCAAACCAGAAACGAGATAAGTGTCCTTCCGTCCCAAACATCAGCAAGAAATGGATGAGTTCATTGCTTAGAAATGACTGAACACTTCTTGGTGTGGAGGAATTGGTTGTTTCTTTTGGGATAGGCAACATCCAGTTTGTTTGACTGAAGATTATTAATGTTGTCCATGAGTTGGAAGTCTTGTTCAGATCAAAAGATTAATTAAAACATGACTTAGTTCACAGCTAAAAAGAATATGGAAGTCTCAACCTAGACCATACAGTGAATAAAGCGACTGAGAGAAGAGGTATTGGTAACTCAACTGATTTTTCAGAAAACAAAACAAAAACATAAATTAAAAAAAAAAAAAACTAGCAGCATTGGCTTTATCCCTGTCATGACTTACAGAAATGGCGGCACTCTACCTACAATCATCACAGACTGCCATGCAAAAGAAAGCGAGAGGCTTCTCAGGAAGGACAGAGGGAACTCAAAGACACACACCCAGACTCCAGGATCTAGGAAATAGGAGGAGGCAGTCAAGCTTAGATTGTTAAGAAAAGGATGGAGTGTGGGAGGGGAGGGGGGCGATGGCCTTTGATTGTGGGTCTATTCTTTCCAAATAGGAGAAAGGCTTACGAGAGATCTTAACAGATCTTATCAGAAACTTTTTGTGGGTTCCATCTTGCTATTGTCCACGTTCTTCATATGCTCTAGGCATTTCGAGAACCCTGCTCTAGCTTTCATGGATGGCTTCAGTTCTTGACTGGCATTAAAATCCCCAGTCATAAGTTCAAATTTTTGATTTATCATGTCAACATTCTTCTTCAAAACACAAAAATCTCTCCTGCCTCTCCCTCATTCACACAGTAGAAGTCAATTGATTAAATGTTTAAATATATAGATACCTGAAACCAATGAGAATAGAAATTTCTGATTTTATGATAATTATAAGATAAAAGTATAGAAAGGTAAGCTAACTGGTTTTATCAACTATAACTTAAATTGAAGATTTTGAAGCAATAGAGAATAAAGCTGATGCATAACTTTAAAAAAAGAAAATATTTCTTGGGAAAGGTGTTTCCAAATGAAGGTACAGTTGGCCTTGAATAGCAAGTCAGAGGTTTCCTTAAAGTCTTCCTTCCCTGAACTACACCGTGGGGCCTAAAAGATCAGGACTAGGATGGATGTAAAGAAGCTACAAATATATTTTAGTTCAATAAAAAGAACATCTGAAAAGAGTTATTCATCACTGGGAATGTCCAAGCAGAGGTTTCCAGGATGTTTCAGACAGTATCGAAGCATCACAGACTAGGGTCTGCCTAAGAAACCAGCGAGGCCTATTCCTACAAAAAAAAAATAAGTATATGAAATGCCTGGCACATGATAGAAGTATAATAAATATTAGTTCTTTCCATTATAAAGTCCCTAGGTGGCACAAACAGTTTGCACTCAACTGCTAACCTGGGTCGGTTCGAACCCACCCAGCGGTACCACAGAAGATAGGCCTAACAATCTGCTTCCATTGAGATTACAGCCAAGAAAATGCTATGGAGCAGTTCAAGTCTATAACACATGGGTTGCCATGAGTCAGAATCAACTTGAGGAAAATTAACACCAACAACAACTTCCCATTCTAAGAGTGCATGATCACATATATGGGATGTATTTTCTGGAGGGGTAATTGGATACATTCTAGATTCTTCCAGAAGTTCACAAGTCTCTTATGAGGGCCTATTGAGAGAGGAAGGCAAGAGGAGGGAAGGGGGCGTGTTCTGTTTGCTGGTGGCAGGATAGCTCTTCCTCTACTTGGAGTTTTCAGCACTTTCAGGCAGTTGCTGGTTTGGGCCTGATGCTGTCCACCACCGCTGAGAGAACGGCTCCTGCAGCCTTTGCGCCCTCCCTCAAGGCGTGCTCTACCTGCAAAGCAGATAGGTTGACAGGATGGTCAGTCACAGCCCTAGGCCTGTGTCCTCCCCTTCCCCTGCCCCACTGCTACCCTTCAGAAACTGGCCTTTTCCTAAAGGAGGATGCAGCCTGTGCTATCCTAGATTTCCCAAAACCTAGGTCTGCAAGAAACCAAGAGAAGCTAGCATTGCTCAAGACCAACATCCAAGGCAGGCTTGCTTCCTTTCCTCTGGGAGCATGCAGGGCTCCTGGTCCCCCTCCTCCCTCAAAGCCATTCTGCCCAGGGTTTGCCTCCAGCATGGGACTCAGAGGCAAAGCATCTAAGAGTGTCACAGTCACTGAGGCCCTCATTTTACCCAGAGGGGCGAACCCATTTGGACAAATTCACATAGTGAATTAGTGTCTGAGCTTAGATTTGGGCTTGGGTTTCCTGACTCCTTGGCTTGGGATCCTTAGGAGGCCCAAATATAAACCCCTTTAAACTGACGATCTTCTTTTCATGTACAAATGCTTGTGGAACAGGAAATCCCTCATACAAGAGCCAGGCAAGCTCCAGACACCTAAGTAAGGCCTCACAAGAATGGAATGCAGGAGAGGACCCAGAGTGCAGAGGAAGAAGATGCAGAAAGTCAATAGTGGACAGGGTATTGCGGGCGGCACGGAGGGCATACTAGTGCTCACTGAGAGACCAGATCACCATCGGATAAAGACCAACATACTAGGATTTGAGCCCAGCCTGTTAACTAAGAAAAAATGATTTTGTCTTTAAACTTTGATTTTTTTTCATCTATAAAATCACCATCACCACCAGTTGCTGTCAAGTCAGTTCTGACTCATGAAGACCCCATGTGTTTCAGAGTAGAACTGTGCTCATAGGGTTTCCAATGGCTGATTTTTCAAAAGTAAATCACCAGGCTTTCTTCCCAAGGTGCCTCTGGGTGGACTTGAACCTCCAACCTTTCGGTTAGCAGCCAAGTGTGTTAACCATTTGCACCACCCAGGGACTCTCATCTATAAAAAGGAGATAATATTACTTCCTTTGCTTATCTGATGGGGTTTTAGTAAGGGTCAGATATTAACAAGAGAAGCCCAAATTATCACAGATATTTAGGATTTTCAAAGCCCTTTCACATGTATTATACCACATTTAATTTATCATCACCCTATATGGTGGGAGCCCTGGTGGCACAGTAGTTAAAGTGTTCGACTGCTAACCGAAAGCTCAGCAGTTCAAACCCACCAGCCACTCTGTGGGAGAAAGATGTGGCAGTCTGCTTACATAAAGACTACAGCTTTGGAAACCCAATGTGACAGTTCTACTCTGTCCTATAGAGTCACTATGACTCGGAATCAACTTGATGGCAATGCGTTTTGTTTTTATATAGTGGGAGGTCAGAAACCCAAATGCAATGGGGCCAAGCAGGTAATGTGAGGAAAGCTGGTAGGTGATACACTATCCCTACCCACCCCATGTAAAGGGAAGCCACTACAGAGTGTCGACAAGCAGGAATGCAGGCCCATAGCCTGATCAAAATGTGGTTCAAGAGAAGCTGTGAGTTCAGATCTTTTTGTATAAAATTTCTATATTTTCACATGTTGGCAAGTAATTCAAATTCAAAAAAAATAATACCATACATCCAAGCAGAACATATCTGTGGGCTAGAGATGGCCTACAGGCTTCTGGATAAAGTATTTGCCTCGGTCTATCCCCATTTTGTAAAGTAGGAAATAGTCTCAGAAATAAAAGTGACTTGACCAAGGAGACTACATTAGTTAATTGTCACACTTGGACTTTAACTGAGTGGTCTTTCTATAAGCCCAGTGGTTTTTCCACTCCTCTGTGGGTTAATATTCACCACCCGTCTGTCAGTTTGTCATATTGTGGTGACATGCATGTGTCGCTGTGATGCTGGAAGCTATGCACTGGTATTTTACCCATGGTGTTACCCATGGTAGACAAGTTTCAGTAGACCTTTCGCACTAAGACAGAGTAGGAAGAAAGGCCAAGTGATCTCCTTTCGAAATTTAGCCAGTGAAAAGCTTATGGAGCACAACAGAACAATGTCCAACTCACTTGCTTTTGATACATTATAAGGAAGGATCAGTTGCTGATGAACCAATATGACATCATGTTTGGTGAATTAGTGGGCCACTGAGGGCTAGGGATTGGCACAATAGCTGCAACAATGGACTCGAACATGCCAGCGATCATGAGGATGACGAAGGACTGGGCAACATTTCACTCTGTTGTACATAAGGTCATCATGAGTCGAAGTCAACTCAACGGCAGCTATCTATCTATGTCTATGGGTTAATATAGGTGAAAATACTTCCTGAACCATAAAGTCCTATAGTACAACAAATAATATGATGATGCCACAGATCACTGTCCTGATCACTGATGAGATAATAAAGCTCATGAAAGCTCCACAAGAAGCCATCATTAAAGCAAAGGGCGCCATACCTGCTGACTCCTGTGCACACCGTATCTGAGGTCATTCACAAAGTGCTCACAGTTGCCTTCAATCAGGCTGTACTGCACGATCTTGTTGATCATCATCTTCGTACGCTGGATAATCCTGTCCACGGGCAGGGGCAGGTATGTCCCATCTAGCTTGTTGTTGATCTTCCAGGAGCAGCCATGCAATACGTCCTCCAGACGACTATATTTTACAACGGCTCGGTTGCTAAAGACAGAAGTGATGCTGCCAGCCTCAAATTCCTCACCTAGAGACCAAAGACAAACCAAAGTTGGACAGTGGCTAGGGGTAGTATACAGAGCACTGGTTCACTCTAAGACTTTAAGTCAGCTGCTCCTTTTGGGGCCTTAGTTTCACCATCTGTAAAAGGCATAGCAGGGAATAAGGGGTTGGACTAGATGAACTATAAAGGACCAGCTTCCCCACCAAGGTTTTGCCCTGCACTGCAGTACTGCTCTCAACCCCTCAGGGAGGTCTGTCTTATTAAACTCTATCGGTACCTTCCAGTGTGGTCCCAGACTACAATCAGTGTTGTGCTGACCTCTAATTGGTCCTTGGATTTGAGTCTTGCTTTCCTTATCAGACTTCAGTGACCTTCACAAGTAACATGTATAGGGCGCCCTCTATCTGTATTTGTGAGCTCCTGGGCATGGTGCTATCATGTACATGATAATAGTGGTTTTCAAACTGTCCATGGCACGCCTTCAGGGCCACTGCAGGGGAACAGGGAAGCAAGCAGACAGGGCTCCAGATGGCACCAACCAGCTTCAACTCAGAGCAGCTTTGCTTTTATCTGTATTCAAATGCTGGAATTCTCATTAAAAGAGTTTGTTTGGAAAATAGGGTTCCACAGCTTTGAAAAAAGAAAAGTTTAAAACTGTTATAGCAGTCAGTCCTTAGAGGAGACAGAGGCTCAGAGAGGTTCAAGAACTGGACCCAAAGCCAGGTAGGTGGTAATTTAAAACAAGAACTGGTTTTTTGCTACAGTATATGTATATAAGTCAAAATTGACCCAACGGCAACGGGTTTGGTTTTGGTGGTTTGTTATATGCATATGCAAATGTAGGTACACTTCCCCTGTGTTAGTTAACCAAGAGCTAGAAATGTCCCTATTCTTTTCTTGCGGATTTCAAGAAAAACTGCTGATTTTACAAAAGCTGGCAGTGAGCACCCAGCATTTGGGAGCAGAGACGGCAGAATTCATTTGTAGAGATATTTCTGATGGTGGCGGAGTTGGCGGGACAAAACTGTCAATGAGCTCTTCGGTTATACAAGAGGGAGGCTCCCAGACTTAGTCTGGAAAGGAGAAATGGAAATAATTGCAATGTGATTTTTACATTCTTTGCATAGAATCTGAAACAAGAAGTGGGGAAGGGTGTGAGTGGATGGGGCAAGGAAGAGAGGCGATGGGAATCTGCTCTGTGGGAAGGTCCCAGAAAGATGGGAGGCTGGGCCAAAGGAGGAGGATAGGATGCAAATATGAGGGCCATGGACATTGGCCTTTGGTACCAGTGCCCTTCTGTAATTTAAGTTTGAATGGCAGTATTTGCAACAGGATACAAAATTCAAAAGACATTGAAGAGTATACAATGGAGTCCCCTCCCTCCCCATCTCCCAGACCCCCAGCTGCCATCTCTTGTGACAATCACTGTGACCAGGGATTCTAGATGTTCAATTTTAAGTTGTTTCTGTTCTAAACTGCAATTTTCCTCTATTATCACTACCACCCTCATCAAGTCTCTACTAAAATTTGATTAACCACAGGTTTAGTCTTAGTTTTATGTCAATGCTGCCTTGAGAAATAAAAGATGTCTACACTGAGAGTGAAGCCGACTGGAGCAGATTGGAGCAGTAGCGAGACAAGGTGAGGAGCCTGCCAAAGGTGATCAGAGAGCTGAAAGCAGCATTTGGGAACAATAGTTAACAAGTGACGATCAGAACATCTCCCGCATCCCTCCCAGGGACTCCTCAGAAATATGAGGAAGGTTATTGAACTCTTGTCAATACAAAATGGAGGTTTACGCTCTTACACTTGTACTTTAAAATAAAGGATGACCTAGAAGGTCAGGGAACTTGGGGGACACTTTTTACACTGTCATCTCTCTTAGTCTGGGCACACAATGGTTATTGGCAAACAGAGACCAAGCTTTATTACATAGTAAATAGGGGTCCAGTATGCTTCAGGGTACTTTATTGCTAAGAAGGACAGCAGCTGAGGAACACAATAATTAACTTCAATATAAATATTTCAATAGAGTATCCACTCTTACTCGGGGAAGCCAGATGGACCACATAATCATCTTCCACATAGATGGCCCAGTGCTCATAGCCAATTCGAAAAATTTCAATCAGGTCTCCGGGTCTGGGCTTTGGTTTGCCCTATAATGGAAAAAAAAAAGAGAGAGAGATAGAAACTTCACATGCTCAAGGAACTCCAGAGACCCAGCTGGAGAGCTGCTGCAGCTCAGCCTAAGATCCCCTCACTGTTTCTAATCACCTTACCCAAGCTGAAGAAAGTTCTCTTCACACAAAGGACCAAAGAACATCCCCCATCCTGTTATCACTCTCATCATTAGAGCTTTAGAGGCCATCTGTGCTAGTTATCAATTTATTGCTTCTCAACTCCGAATGTACCCTCTGATATATGGTCTGTGATTAACCACAGAATTCCCTTAAGCATCTTTCCTTTAAAGTGAGCAAGATGTTACGCTTTCTCAATAAAGGACCCTGGAGGGACACTGCAAGAGGAAGGGGCTTTCCTGCAGTTTCTGGCTGGGGAGGAAGAAGACTGATGGTCAATAGCTTGAGCATGAGGATAGCTGGTGGAGCAATGCCTGAGCTCACATTCTCAGTTCCTAAGCACCCTTGCAGCCTCCACTTTTCTGGGGTTCTCTTGACAGGGAAACCTGTGCCCAAAGGCCTTCTGCCCATGCAGGTGTCCTGATTCCTACCTCCCTCACCTTCCCACCCCCATATGGTCTACTGGCAGCCCAGAGGGTCCTCCCCTCCTCTGCACACCCATGCCATCAGTTGCTGATCACCAGCCTCCCACCTGCACTCCAGAAGGTTGCCTCCTGCTTGCTTTCCATTTGGTGCTTTCTTATAATTTCTGTCTCTTTATTGATATTCTCTATTTGATGAGTCATTGTCATCCTACTTTCATTTACTTCTTTAAACATACTCCTAATAGCTGTTTAGAAGTCTTTGTCTGCTAGGCCCCACATCTGGGCCCCCTAGGAAATAGTTTCTATTGACTGTTTTGTTTTTGTTTTGTTTTCTTGTTTATGAGCCACTCCCACTTCTTTGCATGTCCCATAATTTTTTGTTGAAAAATGGACATTTTAGGTAATACATTGTAGTAATTCTGGATTCTGATTACCCTCCCCTTGAGGAATGGCAGTTGTTGCTTTTTGTTTTCACGTTTGTTGGTTGGTTTGTTGGTTTATTTGTTTAGTGACTTTCTGGACTAATCCTGTGGAGTCCGCTTCCCTCACAGTGTATGGCCACTAACGTGTCTACAAAGTTTTTCTTCTTGTTTTTATTTTTAAGCCTGGCTTCCTAGGGATCATTCTTGGGCCAATATAACTTAATGATCAGTCAGTATTTGGTCATAGGCTGAACCACACATTGAGCCAATAAGGCTTCCACCCTTTGCCAGTGGATCTCTCTGTGGCTTGGAAAATGCAACTGAAGTTCCAAAAGTTTACAAGTCTGTCCCAGCTTTTACTTCTGCATTCATAAGGCCTCATGTTCAGCAAGGGGTTAGAGACTCACTATGGCCTTCTCCAGTCTCTCCTGAATGTGTGTGTAGCCTTGTGCATGCCTTCCAAACCACAAGGTATATGTGGCAGATTTTCAAGGCCCTCTTAAGATGTCTTGCTACCTGGATTTCCATGTTAAATTTCTGGTTGATCTGTTGGTCTATTTCTTGTCTCAACAAGTACTGCAACCTCAGGCTAGCTGCAATTTTTGCCTGCCATGATTTTTTGCCACTGAGATAGTTATTGTTTCAACAACATCCCTGGGCATGGAATTTTCCAAACTCTGCCCCAAATAAATTCACCTCCACCCCCCTTTGTTGCTCCGGTCCTCCCAGCCTGCCCCACCCACCTAGGTAGAACTTTCCCACACAGAGCTGGAGGAGGGAGACCTGAAAAACCACAGTCTTCCCTTGTTCTTTCCTAGATTCAGTAGATTTTCTTGAATTAACGCTTCTCTATTTGTTGTATGCTTTTGGTCAAATTTCCAGTCTTAATTTTGTCCAGCTTTATCTTTGCTTTTTGGGGAGAGGATTTGCTAAGAACCTCACTTAACCATTACAGAAGGCCTGGCCACTTCAGGGAATGGGTTTTTATAGGCATAAACCGGATAATCTACACTCCTATGTTACATGGAAGGAATTGAGACCAAGGGAGATGAAGTCCTTTGTCGAACGTTCCATAGCAAGTCCACGGTAGAGCTAAAACAAGAACTAGGGCTTCTTTCTGTCTCCCTAACCAACTCTTTCTTCTTTAAAGGGAAAACGCAATGGTAGAGGAGCACCCACTAGAGGGCACCCTAACCTAGCATTCTCACCCGGAAAGCAGAACTATATTGTAGGAGACTTAAAGCTGAGTTTCATTTTCTTTTGCCATAGACCCAGGAAAAGAGATGTGGATATACTCCTCCTTGAAATCTGGATGTTCACAGTCCCTCATGGTTATTTCTGACAGGAAAACTATACTGTCAAAGAAGCCACGTAGGAAAAGGGAGATAATGCCAACTCTACCCTCCCCAATGGTAGAGGGTCCCAAGGCTAAGGCAGCAAATGTTTGAAGGCCCCTCTGGAGTCAAAGAAAGGTGACAGAAGAGCTAAGTAATGAGCACATTAGATCATCATAATGGACATCTTTAAAAACTCCAGTTTGATTAGGGGCTGGGAGGAGAAAAAAAGCCAAAGACTTGTACTAGGGTTACTAAGGAAGGTGGGAGTATTTTGAGGGGGGTAACAGCTAAGGATTGGGAGGACAACACATAAAAGATGGCACAGATCAGAAAAAGTGATGTGATGATGATAGATGGAGATGGAGGACTAAGGAGAAGTAGGACTAAGGAGAAGGAAAGAGACTAAGCAGAGAGAGGAGATCTTTCTCATCCTTTGGCCAAGATTAAAAAGAAACAATTAGCAAATTAATAGAATTCTGTTTGTGATTCAAATATCAAGAAGAATATGTTGTTTTAAACAAACACTTCTGTCTTGATAAACACCAGTGGGATCAGAGCAGTGTTTTAAAATTTCCATAAGGAAGTCTGAATTATCAAATATTTTGAAACTTATTTTTAAAAAATTAAAAACTAAGTTTAGTTCAACATTTGCATGCACTGACACAAGTAAACAGTTAAATTACTTCTAATTTATAATTTAGTTATATACAGACCTTTGATTCCTGGATTTTCTAATCATTTTTCTCCTTTGGACATAGGTAAATGAGAAAGAAATGATTAAGTATAGTATTTTTAAAGGAAAAAAATGCTCTAAGTGAGGGCTATTTCTGCTCTTATACACATAATACAAGAAGGCCCATAAGCTCATCCTCACCAATACAGTAGCCTGTTGTAAGCTGTAGTCAAGTCGGCCCCTGACTCATGGTGACCTGATGCACAACAGAACAAAATGCTGCCAGGTCCTGCGCCATCCCCATGATCGGTTACGGATTGGACCATTGTGATCCATAGGGTTTTCATCGGCTGATCTTTGGAAGTAGATAGCCAAGCCTTTCTTCCTAGTCCATCTTCATCCAGAAGCTCCAGTGAAACATTTTCAACATCATAGCAACACATAAGCCTCCACTGACAGACATATGGTGTCTGTGCAGGAGGTGCACTGGCCAGGAATCGCATGCAGTTCTCCTGCATGGAAGGTAAGACTTCTACCATAGCCTAAAGACCAGTAGTATTTAAGTCTTGTTATTAGCTAGGAAGAAAAAGAAAGGCCCAGAGAGGAAGAGGAAAGGACAGACAATAAGTTGAAGTACAGGAATTCAAATCAATCACACTCAGGCTATTTCTGCACTGATCAGGGCTTGGGGAAGGAGGGTTGACAATAATGTTGTAGGGCAGGTTTTGCTGAGTCAGTACAGAAGGAGACCCAGATGAAACTTTATGCAGCTTTGACACCATCCCTGACTCCATCTCAGCCTACCTGAGCACAAACCCTGATACCCGAGAGTATATTGATACCAATGACATTTACCTTCCTCCCAGAGTATCTAGTGGAGGGCAGGACTCTGTAAGCCTGCCAAGCCAAGTGGACAGCCACACCCAGTGTAAGCCCATTTCCCCCACCAACCAAAGAGCTAATTACCTCCCACTAGGCATAACTGAAGAAGCCCTAATGGCACAATGGTTAAACACTCGGCTGCTAACACAAAGGTTGTGGTTCAAACCCATCAGCCACTCCACAGGAGAAAAGACCTGGCAATCTGCTCCTGTAAAGATTACAGCTTAGGCTCCTAGGAATATATCCTAGAGAAATAAGAGACATGACACAAATACGCATATGCACACCCATGTTCATTGCAGCATTATTCACAATAGTAAAAAGATGGAAACAACCTAAGTGTCCATCAACAGATGAATGGATAAACAAATTATGGTACATACACACAGTGGAATGTGATGCAACAATAAAGAACAATGACAAACCCACAAAACATCCCACAACATGGGTGAATCTGGAGGGCATTATGTTGAGTGAAATAAGTCATTCCCAGAAGGACAAATACTGTATGAGACCACTATTATAAAAACTCATGAAAAGGTCTGCACACTGAAAGAAACAATCTTTGATGGCTACAAGGGATGGGAGCAGTGGGAGGGAAAAACACTAGACAATAGATAAGTGGTAACTCTGGTGAAGGGTAAGACAGTACACAATGCTGGGGAAGTCAGCACAACTTGACCAAGGCAAGGTCACGGAAGCTTCATAGATACATCCAAAACCCCTGAGGGACCGAATTACTGGGCTGAGGGCTGGAGACCATGGCCTCAGAGGACATCTATCTCAATTGGCAGAACATAGTTTATAAATAAAATGTTCTACATCCTACTTTGGTGAGTAGTGTCTGGGTCTTAAAAGCTTGTGAGTGGCCACCTAAGATACTCCATTGGTCCCACCCCAACTCGAGCAAGGGAGAATAAAGAAAACCAAAGACACAAGGGAAAGATTAGTCCAAAGGACTAATGAACCACAACCAACTACCACAGCCTCCACCACACTGAGTTCAGCACAACTAGATGATGCCCAGCTACCACCACCAACTGCTCTGACAGGGATCACAATAGAGGGTCCCGAACAGAGCTAGAGAAAAATGTAGAACAAAATTCAGACTCACAAAAAA